AAAAAAAAAAAAAAAAAAAAAAAAACAGTGGATTAATTGTTCCCAGTGTTATGTGTATAGACTGAACTCAGCTGAACACTGTCTGGAGGCAAGTGTTCTTGTATTACAAGGAAGGTACAGAAAGCACAGACAGGCATAGTGGGTGGGTGACATTCAAGGCCAGGGGTTACGGCAGGGCAGGAATTAGGGCAATGCAGGGTTTGGGTGAATAAAACTAACCATTTAAAAGGCCATGGGAAAATACTGGGAAAATCATGTGAAATGGTCAATTGAAACTGAAGAGATTGCCAAACTAAAACGGTTCATTTAATGGATGCGTTAATGCTTTAACTTGATTGTTAATGTAATGATGCTGTCAGATATCAGCGTGCCAAAATGAAAACTTTCTGATATAATTGTAGGGAACCAGAGAATCAGAAGAAGACAAGGGGACCATTCCCAGACCCTATCATACTAATTGTGGATCGATCGATCTCCAAGGGGATTCTCGCTAAATTACAATAAACTTAAGCAGCATAGATGTCTGTCACGCCTGCGGAAGCTGTTAGGAGGTAATTAACTATTGATTAGCAGCTTCAGTAGGTGTGCAAGACATCTAAGCCGCTTAAGCTGAAAGTAATTTAGCAAGAAACCCCTTGGAGATGGATCGATCCTGTCAGATCAATCTAGGTATGGGAACCCAGTCAAGGACTTGCAGCATGAAAGAACACAGTATTTGGCATGCTGAACACCATGGCCAATTGTCTTTTAAAGCATGGAGATTGAATACTGGAAAATTTGAAAATATGTATTTCTTGTCAAACAACCTCATATCTATTTAAAACAAAACTAACCTTCTTACTGGTATTAACAATTTCTAATGACTTCACTTAGTTTTATCCTTGGAAAGACGGGTACTAAAATTGGACAAACAGGAATAAACACCTGGATGTAAAAATTAACACTTATATCTTAAAGATTTTGCAAACTTAACAATCACTGAACATTGCTCAGCTACTTTAAACATGCATTTGTTTAAATCATGCATTGACCCAAAACTTGTTTTTTTAATGCTCATTTGTTTTTCCAGCTGAATATTTACTAGAATCATCCTGTCACAAAAATCTTTTTTATCATATTCATCTATCTTTATCTGTACTTCATATTTTTGTTTCTAATTTATCCAATCAGCTGCAAAAAAAAAAAAAAAAAAAAAAAAAAAAAAAAAAAAAAA